CCCCCCCCTAAATTAAAGGAATAGTTCACCCAAAAAAACAAAACATTTTCTGAACATTTACACACCGTCAGGCCATCCAAGGTGTAGGTGAGTTTATTTCTTCATTGGAACAGATTAGGAGAAATTTAGCATTACATCACTTGCTCACCACTGGATCCTCTGCAGTGAATGGGTGCCGTCATTGAGAGTCCAAGCAGCTCATAAAACGATCACAATAATCCACAAGTAATTCACACAACTTCAGTCCGTCAGTTCACATCTTGAGATGCAAAAAGATGCATGTTTGTACATTTATATTGCTTTCTCCAGTAAAAAAAAGTCATCTCATCTGAATCAGGAGAGACATATGCACTGAGCAAGCGACTTTCTCTCTGGAGGTGGCATTATAGACCAATTTGGAGTAAACGTCACAGTTACGTCACTTGCAGCTGCGCGCGCATTGTGGTGGCAGAAAAACACTGGGAACAAGTGGAGGGAAATGGGTAAAATAAATATATTGTTGTGCTTTTGGATGTCAGAATCAGAATGGAAATCATTTTTATATAATACTGTTGTCAAATACGCCATTTGAAGCTGAACGCAGACGTTTAAACGGACAGACTATGGATGAAACCTGCTAGGATTACCTTACTTTTAAAGCATAAATTTGATTTAAACAATAGGTCTATATAATATTCACATAGGGGACATATTGTATTAGCCCTACAGTTAAAGCATGAAATATTATTTAAACCTATAACATTTTACATAACATTTAACTATATCATATCACAATTCTGAATTTTGTTCTTGCAAGTGCAAGTTTATATCTCCTAGTTCTGACTTTATAACTTGATTCAACTCAACAATTGCGAGTTTGTCAATTCTGAGGAAACAAAGTCTGAAGTGTGGGATTATAAACTCATGATTCTGAACCGAGGGGGAAAAGAGAGAATGACGAGTTGATTTTTCTTATCAGAAGTGTGAGATGTAATCTCAGAATTGCAAGAAAAAAGTCAGAATTTTGAAATACAAACTCAAAATTACCTTTTTTATTCTTTTATTCCATGGCTTGCTACGTTAAAACTGGCATTTTCTGCCACCAGATAGACTCCGCCCACAAAAAACGTCATCACTGTTTGCAAGCATGAAATATTATTTAAACCTATAACATTTTACATAACATTTAACTATATCATATCACAATTCTGAATTTTGTTCTTGCAAGTGCAAGTTTATATCTCCTAGTTCTGACTTTATAACTTGATTCAACTCAACAATTGCGAGTTTGTCAATTCTGAGGAAACAAAGTCTGAAGTGTGGGATTATAAACTCATGATTCTGAACCGAGGGGGAAAAGAGAGAATGACGAGTTGATTTTTCTTATCAGAAGTGTGAGATGTAATCTCAGAATTGCAAGAAAAAAGTCAGAATTTTGAAATACAAACTCAAAATTACCTTTTTTATTCTTTTATTCCATGGCTTGCATAGACTGCTACGTTAAAAACATAGGTTAAAACTAGCATTTTCTGCCACTAGATAGACTCCGCCCACAAAAAACGTCATCACTTTTTGCAAACACTGAAATTGGTCTATTTAGTCTTGTATTTTGGCCTGGTATTAAAACACTTAATGGTGGATTTGTTTATAGCAAACGCACATCTTTTCACTTCAGTAGGCATTTATTGATGGACTGAAGTTGTGTGGGTTAGCTGTTTAAACTCTCATTCTGACGGCACCCATTCACTGCAGAGGATCCACTGGTGAGCAAGTGATGTCATGCTAAATTTCTCCAAATCTGCTAGATGAAGAAACAAAATCACCTACATCATCTAAAATTTCATTTTTGTGTGACCTAATCCTTTAATATGTCACAAACTTAAATTTATGATGGCAAAAGACTTTTTGTCTTTACAAAATGATCTGTTCTGAATATTTAGGTAGAGCTCCTTCACACTCTGGTGTTTCAAACATTAGATTACATCTCTAACAAAAACAAAAAGTAAGTGTTATTGTCCTGGACCTCCATATTCTGTTTATTTTGTTAAATCGGCAGTTGGTGTGTTGTCATGCTGTTCGTCTTTGTTTCAACAGACGTGACAAACAAGGTTCTTCGTCAGACGGTAACCAAGAAAAAACCCCTTCAGGCAATGAAGGCGATGATTGTGAGGTGCGTAAATTAGCAATAATGCTTATTAATTTAAACAAAGATTTAAGTTTTTATATATCTGTGTGAATAATTGAGTATTTTTGATGCAGTTTGATGAGATTGAGCAGGATGAGAACGTCAACTCTCAGAATATAACGATGAAAGATCCAACAGAGGTGAGTTGGGTTTCACCTCATCAAAGTTTTTGTTTCTACAACTTAATGTGTATACTAGGCATCCATACTAATCTGCGTTTGTGTCTTTGACTGGGAAAAACTGTGAAAAAAACGATGAGTAAAGTTAATATGTTTTGATATTGACTAATACTGTTTTTTTTTTGTTCTGCAGATTAAGTTGTTGTTGTATAGCATTTGAGTTTTTTTTTTTTTTTTTTTGGGAACTAATTCTTTGGTATTCTTTTTTTTTTTAGCCAGTGAAGATTATCCGTCTCCCTCCTGAATCTCTCATTCCTGTAGAATCACTCGAGAAACAGAAATACCCCCTTCTCAGGTAAAGACACTCTGACCCACACAAACAAATGAAATGGTTGCACACTGTTCCTTCTGTAATCTTATTGGTACTACAGTCCAACAATACCAGTCCAGTCTTCTTGCTCTCCAGGAGAATATTGTCTGAACAAGTGACTCAGTTGCTGGAAATTAAGTTCATACTTACAAAGAACTAAAAATGCTTTGCCAAAATGTTTCATTGTTATCCTCTAGCCTTAAAGGGGAGCTTCTTGGCAGCTGTAAGGATTTTCGAATGAATCATTTCACCATGGATGAATCAGGATTGATGCGTCTGGGCTCTTCCCACACTCACTTCCTCAAGGAGGTCGCAGAAATCCAGCACAACTTCTCTGTACATGAACCTGTGCCTTTAGATAACGGTGAGGACACAGACTTCTCGTGTGACAATCTATACAGATGTTTTCTTTCTTTTTTTCTTTTTTTCTTTTTTTTTTTGAAAGTTTCATGACCGAGAACAGATGATTAAAAACGGATTAAAAAGTCACTTTACTGTAAAAGATATTACAATTTCCTCAAAAAATATGAAGCAGCACAACAGTTTTCAAAATAATAATAAGAAATTATTATTTGGCACCAAATCAGCATATTATAATGATTTCTTAAGGATCATGTGACACTGGAGACTGGCGAAATGGCTTCTGAAAATTCAGCTTTGCATCACAGAAATACATTTTTACATTTAAAATGTTAAAATACATTTGAAATTATATTAAAATAGAAAACTCTCATTTTAAGTTGTAATAATATTTCATAATATTACTGTTTTTTTATGTACTTTTAATCAAATAAATGCCTTAGTGAGCATATGAGACTTCTTTCAAACACATTTGAAAAAAATCTTACTGACCCCAAATTAAACCTGAACCTTATTCCTATTTCAAGCTTTATAGATTACCATATTGATCTGTTTTGTTTTTGTCTTATTGTCATCTGGTGTGCAGAAGGTGTAGTTGAGGTTAATGGTGGTTACGATGAAGAAGATGGTGGTGCAGAGGTTCTTCCTCCACTGGAAGATCATGGGATGGAGGTGGAGTCTGAAGAGTGGGTGGAAAGACATCAGGTACCAAAACAGTTTGTGTGATTAAATATTGATATAATTGGCATTTGGGAGAAGATCTGTTGAATGTAATTATTAAAGTTTTCCCTTTTTTAATTGTTCTAGGCCCCTAGTGAGGGGAGGATGTTAAGACCGAGACCTGCAGTACAGCCAATTCCAGAGGAACCCAAGCAGCTCAAGGTATAGAGCGGTGCAATGACACAAAATAGCCATTTTTTCTTCACACTTACACTAAATCAATCAAGTGAACTCATTCACATGTAGTACATGTTAAAATATCAATATGATTTTGGTATGTTATGTTGCATTCTGTAATACGTGTTGCATTATCATGTCCTTGTAAAAGTAATCAAATGCATGTGCATATTCCAGGAAATTGTGGACCCTTGGAATTGGCATGATTCATATGCTGCATTTGGGGAGGACAAACCTCTCAAAACAGGTGTGTGCTCAATCTGATGTTTTTCCATTAAAATAACTCGGTTAATTATTTTATAATGGCTTTTTGCAGTTGGACGTTTATTTTCTTCTCTGCTCTCTAGGGAAGTGTTATAAAGTGCCCGCTGGTCTTGAAGAGTCTGGAAAGAGGAAGAGGAAGGGTCCTTCAAAACTTCAGGACTTTGGGAGCTGGTACTCTAAAGCCTGTAAGTTGTTATCAGGCTGTTATTTAAAAAGGAATGGATGGCATAACTGTTTGGATGAATTAGAGAAGTTGTTTTTTCTTTTACAGTTGAGACTGCAGATCGCAAGCTTAAGAATGGACCTACTTATCCTGGTAATACTTTAAGACCTTGTGCTATATAAATAGTATACATATACATTTTCTTTAAGAAGTTGTTGAAATGTATACAAATTGTTTTTTTCTATTTGTAGACCTTAATTACATCTTTGTGAGTAAAATGGGTCAGCGTCTGAAAGCACAGAAGCAGATCCTCAGGAAAAGGGTAAGTACAATTTTGAGTTTGGGTTCTTTTGACAGCAAGAATGCATTAAATTGACTTGAAGTGACAGTAATGTTACAAAAGATTTGTATTTCAAATGAATGCTGTTCTTTTGAACCTTCTATTCATTAAACAAATCAGCAGGATCTATTCTCTCTGGACCCTCTAACACTAGCATTCCATATTCTTTTCTATTCTATCTACTTGTTTTCTTTTTATTTATAATAAAAATAACATGTTATTTACCTTGCTACATGTACTGCGTTAGGCTAACTGAGACTTGTCACAGCATTTACGTATCATTGCTCTTTTGTTGGTTTTGATTGCTTCTGTTGTCTTCATTTGTAAGTTGCTTTGAATAAAAGCGTCTGCTAAATGACTGAATATAAATGTAGTAAAGAAAGTGAAAGTGACATGTGTCCCATACTTGGAATTAGTGCTCTGCATTTATCCCATCCAAAGTGCACACACACAGCAGTGAACACACACCCGGAGCAGTGGGCAGCCATTTTTTTTTGCTGCGGCGCCCGAGGAGCATTTGGGGGTTCGGTGCCTTGCTCAAGGGCACCTCAGTCGTGGTATTGAAGGTGGAAGAGAGCGCTGTACATTCACTCCCCCCACCTACAATCCCTGCCAGACCGTAACCTTTGGGTTACGAGTCCGAATCTCTAACCATTAGGCCACGACTTCCCCATATCATGTGACACTGAAGACTGGAGTGATACAATTTTGGCTTTACCATTATAGGAATAAATTACATTAAAAAATATAAAACAATTTGTTTTAAACTGTGATCAAATTTCACAATATTACTGTATTTTCTATATCAAATAAATGCCTTGCTGAGCATGAGACTTCTTTCAAAAACACAAATCTTACTGACCCTAAACTTTGAACAGTAGTGTAGTTGTGATGTGTCATGTGACCTGAGGTATTTTCTGTTTTAGGGTGTTTTTGTCTCCGATGAGGAGTTAAAGAAAACTTACTTGGAACCAGAGAATATTGAGGGCCAGGTCGAGGTTGTCCGGCATCCAGACGAAGAGGGTGAGATGCACACACAAAAAATAATCCAGCCCTAGATTTTTTTCCCCTACACCATTAATTGGCATTATTTGCCTAGAACCATTGTTTAAAATGCACCAAATATAAATATTTTATGGTTATTCCCTCGATTTCATTCAGGTGAGGACTTTTCTGATGAGGAACATGACAACTTGGTTGATGCGGAGCACCTTGGTGAACGGGAGCAAATTTTCCATGACGTGCATATGAGCCGGATGAGTTATGAAGATCTGGTCAAGAAGAGTGTGGTATGAAAGCTTAAGATCGATTTCCAGGGAAATGATGATTCATGAATTGGACAGTGGTAGTTTATTCTTTCTGATTTCTCTGCATGTAGGACCTGTTTCTGGTGAACTCTCAGAAGTACGCGCAGGAGACTGCGTTGTCTCAAAGAGTCAAAGAGTGGGAGGATGGAATCAGTCCTCATCTTGCTGCTCAGGTAATGTGGGATGACTCTTGCAAGGTTTCTGTGTTAAAATATTCACCAAAAAAAAAAAATATATATATATATAGTGAACTGAACAATTGGTTGCAGTTTATTCCCATTAAATGAGTGTCTGACATTTTGTGTACAGGAGACCCATCCAGCTTTTGACATCCATGAGTATGGAGACAGAATTGTCCAATCACTCTGTAGCGTGGGTGTGAAAAAATCATTTGCCTTTGTCGTCAAAGGCAAGGAGAACACAGAAGCCTGCAGATACATGCTGGCTACACTGCAGCTGGTGGGTATAAAAACCAATGACTGCTGGTAGTATTTACCTGAGGCTGAGAGTCTAGTTATGCATTACCAGTAAGGTTGTCTGTGCCATTTTGAGCAACTTCTATTTCTTTGACTGAGATTTGTATCAATACTTGCGACATTTAAGTTAAAACATAACCTTTTAAAACAAAAATGTCACCTGACGCTACTTTTGTATTACAGGCCAATGACTACACTGTGGAGATTGACAAGAGAGATGGGCTTGAAGAGAGTGTAGATACTATGGAGCTCACGTTACTGACTACACAGAGGGCTCACGAACGTCTCAAAACCTACAACGCACCCTCTGCTACAGATATTCCTTGACCTTTTATGTTTGTTTATTGCTTATCATCTCTTACCTTTGGCCCCAAACATTAGCTATTTATCACCGACAATGTCAAAGAGAGAAAATCCACACAAAGAATTTCTATGCTTTTCTATTCTAGGTCTTTTTTTTTTTGTCTGGTAATTCCTGTATTCTGATATCCAGCACTGTACTTAAGATTTCAGTTTGGCCTTTAAATATGCTGAAGAATAAAAGAAATAACAGGTGTTTGAGACCGGCTTTGCATTTTAAGAAGCGAATATGTCATATTTAATTGGCTGAAATTATGATGAAAGTCTGTAAAATGGCTTTAAAAAAGTCTGTTTCTATGCATTCTTTGAGATTTTAAGATGATGGAGACTTTTCCCTCCCATTTTCATCTCTAAGTAAACTGCATTTCTGTACAGTTTCTAAACCAGTTTTATAGAATTATAGGAGACAAAAATAAAAAAAAGTGATGCACTATTTAAAAAGTCATTTTGTGTGATGTGAGTAAATAGCAGGTGCAACTAACATTTAGTAGCAGTGAGGTATATGAGAACTGCTTCTGGATTTATTTATTTTTTTTAGTTATAGTTTAGATAAATAAGTCTTTATATGTACTGTACAGTTTAAATCCGAAATAGAACATTCCCTCTACCAATCTTTTAATTATGTTTAAAAAAATCTTTTTATGTTATTATAGCATTTATTAATTCATGTTTTACATTTTTATAGATATATTTTCACTTTTCATTTTAGTAATTTTATATGCTTTTGTCACAAAAATATTTCAGTATAGTTTTAATTTGAGTCATTTTAGTACTTTTTTCAGTTAGTTGTCAACATTTCCACATTTTCAAGTTTAAGATTTTCCATAAAATATTTCAGCCTTATTTTAATTACAAAAAAGATAATAGTTTTAGTTTTACCTGATTAACAATGCCATTATTTATGCACGTGAGGAACTAGGATGTAGCTGATCAGTGGTTTGAAATACAGCTTTGTGTAAACATTTTTTCCCCCGCCATTTAGATTAATCTGGAAATAATTTAACATAGCTTTTCATATGATTACGTATACTCTCAGCAATCTGTACATCATTTTTCATTCTATTGTAGTAGTCCAGGAAGAGTCCGTCTGGATTAACCAGGTAGATGATGATGGTGTGGTCCACAATATAATCCCCATCCTCATCTTTAGGCCCAGCGCTGGCGTAGACCCTATAATCACGTCCTGCCTGCTTCACTTCCTCCGCAGTACCCGTCAATCCAATCAGCCGGGGGTGAAAATCTTTCACGTACTTTGCCATAGCAGCCACATCATCTCTCTCAGGGTCAACGGTGATAAATAGTGGCTGGACAGGGGGCAGGCTGGGGTCTTTATCAAGAATATGCACCACACTGGTCATTTTGTCCAGCTCGTCTGGGCAGATATCTGGGCAGTGGGTGAAGCCGAAATATAAGAGCACCCAACGGCCCAGGAAGTCACGTTTGGTCCTTCGCTGTCCTGTGTGATCTAACAGACTGAAGTCTCCCTGTCCGACTGCCACTTTTCTCAACTGCTCCAGTCTTTGCATCTGGATCTTCTTTTGTTTCTCCTGATAAACATACCACCAGGTACCAATAATAACGCCTCCGAAAAGCAGCATCACCACCAAGCGTGTACGCAGTTTGATCCCTGCTGATGAGCCTGGGTTTGGCGTTTTAGAGGAGTCTTGAGAGTAAAAAGCTCTTTGTTCTCCAAGTAACCATGGTAGACGGCAGTGTGGTGGAGGAAAACCTTGAGCTGATGTTCTAATATGGGACATATGTATCTTTTTGAGAGATCTGCATGAGGGGAATGTGGCTTTTGGGATGTGATGTGAAAGGTTATTTGTTTCTCTCGTTGTTGACCGTAGGATGCTCCATGACATCACATGCCAGTCCAGTCCTCTGAGGCAGCCGAGTCTCAACATCCTCAGAATAACTGATGGAGACAAAAACGAATGGAGTGAGCTGAGAAATCAAGTTCAAATGTTTTTGATAAACTACAGTCTGAATCAAGGCTTTGAATCCTGGAGATCTGTCTTCCTACAGACGGACATATTTTCATTTACATGTGAAAAGACCTTGATAATCTTGTTCATCTGGTGTGTTTATTTAGGGTTTCAGCTTAACTCAGCAGGCAGATCTCTAGAAACAGGATCACAATCTGTTTATTCGTAATATATTCAGAATAAATGATACAGATCTACAAAAGAATAATATTTGAAAACACATAGATCGTTAGTTTATAAATATTCAACATATAATCATCGGTATATAAGTAACGTATATAAATAACATAACACTATAAAGTAGGTTTTTTTCTGATACTGTTAATTTTGCCTTCATTGATTGTTTTGATTTTGTTATTTTGAAAACGAATAAACAAACAAAAAAATTAAACGGACACTAAATATGCATGTATTCCATCCCATACTTTACAATATGCAATAGCCTTCTATGACAGGTAAATGACAAAATTAGCAAAGCTAGCTCTTCGTTTATAACACTGTCTTTGGTCGGTGCAAATACAGGCTTTATAATATGAACACAAAATTACAGTTACAACACGTTTAAATATTACTAACCCTGCGGTTACAGTCGTATGTCCTCGATATAAACTTGAGCTCCACATGTAACATGTACAACAGTCAGGAAGTGTCAGACTTGAGTTTCGCGGGCGCAGATTCGTCGTGTAGAATTGTCGTGATTTTAAATAAAATAATTATAAATGACATATAAATATTTATCATTTTATATTACTAAGTATTATACATTATTAAGTACTATGTATCAATATTTGCTACAATACACATCTTTCGGTAGATTCGTCATTACTGAATGGCCAGTAGATGGCAGGTTTGTAAAGATAAACAGTTGGGTGGAAATCTGTAAAATTGGCAAGGTTTAAAGTTGTCCGTTTTCATTTATTATGTTTTGGGAAATTATATTGCATATAATTATGCTTTACATCTAACACCCAATAAAAAATAAATAAAACTCTGTTCATGTTCATGATAGAATATGCGTGTTAAAGTCATTTTTGTATAAAGTGCATTTTAATGTATTTAAAAAAGGAAGAAGAAGAAGATTGACATGGGACACGCACGCGCACGGTCGTGCCCCAAAAAGAGTGCGCGCGTCGTATCCATAACAACGGAGTCAAACACAAAGTGCCTCTCACGCGCTGTTTCAAACATGGACCCTGCACCAGCATCCTACTACGGACCCCTGGATAAAAACAACCCCGTCCTGTCAGCTTTTCAAAGTGACCTAAAAGAGTTTAAAGCGCATATGAAGAAGCTTTCAGGCTCACCGAACTACGACTACCGATCCTACTCTAGAGGGTAAGAGATAAACACAGAAAAAAGGCTAAAAACTCGAATCTCATTGATATTTTGTAGTGCTTTGTGTTTTTGTATTACTTTATTGATGTTTAAGTATGCTTAATTAATATACAAAACATTTGTGTTAACTGACAGGTCCATTAAACTGTTTGAAACATGGAACAAGTATAAATCTCGCCTTCCTCCCTCTTATTTCGAAGAGCACCTATTGCAAACAGCAGATTTCCTCCTTGACTCCAAGGTAAATAAAACTCTGCATTTTCCCCCTTTTTTAACCACAGTTATGGGCTACCAGTTGGTTACAACAAATATGTTTTGCTAATGCACTCAATCTTCATCCATTATGTGACCCTGGACCACAAAACCAGGAATAAGGATCAATAAGGGTCAAAGAATAAATAAGCTTTCCATTAATGTATGGTTTGTTAGGATAGGACAATATTTGGCTGAGATACAACTATTTGAAAATCTGGAATCTCAATATTTTGAAAAATCTAATTATTGAGAAAATCGCCTTTACAGTTGTCCAAATGAAGTTCTTAGCAATGCATATTACTAATCAAAAATTAAGTTTTGATATATTTACGTTAAGAAATTTACAAAATATCTTCATGGAACATGATCTTTACCTAATATCCTAATGATTTTTGGCATAAAAGAAAAATCGATCATTTTGACCCATACATTGTTGGCTATTGCTACAAATAAACCCGTGCTACTTATGACTGCTTTTGTGGTCCAGGGTCACATATAATCATTTTTCCTTTATATAAATATTTTTCATCATGTCCTATAAGCTTTACAGGCTTGCTCTCTGGCAAGGGTACAGACTTTATCTGCAGCAGTTTTGCACACTAAGCCTAGAAAGCATACGAGACGTGGAGCACTTCAAGCAGTCTTTCTTCTCAGACGGCTTTGATTCAAAAAGAGCCCGACTTACGGTTAGGGATCCTGCCTGAAATACATGTAATATTTTTGGTTTCAATATCAATTTCAATGACCTTTGAACTATGTATTTGTAGTTCCGTGCTCTTCAGGGAGAATGCCAGTGCATCTTCTATTTGGAGAAAGAGAGAGGTGCACTGCCTGACCAGAGTGGGGTTCAAAAGCTGCTGAGCATCCTGGGATTTGTGCGCATTCTCATGCAGGCTGTTCTGCCTGATGAAAGTTTATGCTGGATCCTCTACAATGGTACCTTCAGTAAGACCTCTGGATGTAGTATATCACACTGACAATAAATGGTGACTGTGACTTGTTTTCTGTATTTCCTCAGGCTCGTTACACATGTACAACATATGCAGATGCCTGATGTCAGCAGGCCATGCTTCACAGGTTCACAAAAACATGCCATTATCTATGATTTTTTTTATCACTTTTCAGAATATACGATACTATATTACATTTCTATGAATTAATTTCATTCATGTTTGGAGCAAGTACTCAATATATTTACGTATTTATTTGTTTGTATTCTTCACAAAACATATACTTTTTGTATATTATGGTTTGTTTTGAAGTCTTTTTTTGTCTTTGTTCAGATTTTAGAGTACTTACTATGGGCATGCACATGCCTAGAGACCTCTGTTCCTCTGTTGACTGCCAGCTTCCTGCCATGGAGGGCCACACTTTACTGTGCTGTGTGCGAATGTTATTTTCATGACTGTGCATCAGTTCAGGCAGAGGTGAGTTCACATCAAATTGCTAAATCAACTTAGCTTTATGACTCAAGAGCCCATAGGCAATCTGTCCTTTTGCCTCCTGTTGTGCAATACTGTAGGTGTTTGCTCGCCGAGCCCTTGGCAAGATCAGTGAACTGGCCAAGCTGGAGGAGATGACTGGCTCCCAAGTGTCATTGGAGACCCAACAAGCTTATAAGGAGGCCACAGTAAAAGTGAGGAAATGCAGCCTAAATGAAACATGTTGTTGTTTTTATCGTTCTTGTATTATGACTACCATATTTTATTACTGTTATTGCTCCATTAATGGAGAGAAGCTTGCAGTGATGGTGTTTAAGCGTTCAGTATATGAGCCCCGAAGGAAACCGAAAGGCCTCTTCAGACCCAAACAGAAGAGCAATTTGAAAGAGCTACAGCTCGTGAGTATTCACTTTAATAAT